ATTTTAATTGTTTAATTAATAAAACTAAAATCAACATTTACTTTTCATACAAATTAATTGTAGAAGAATACATAACTATATTCTTAATACGAGCACAAGTTTAAATAACTAATTTTTTATAGAAAAGGAGTTCCTGCACCACAAACACAAGAATTGCTTAATTAAAATAATTTTCCCGATTAAAAATTGAACTGTGTTCTTATGGAGACTCTAATTGCATTTTTTTTCATTTATAATTTGTATAAAAACAATAATAATAATTTATTTTAATTTTATTAATCACTTAATTAAAATTATCACTATGTCCACAAAGCAAATGAGAGAGATACCAGCTAGGTGGCTATATAACTCAAGGGTGTGTTTGGCTTCCAACTTCCTTGGGAAAGAAAACTCAGGGAAGTGAGCCTCAAAATCATTAGCTTTGGCTAAAAATCATACACAAAAATAAAAAAAGTTATGCTTGCTGATAACAACTTATAACCAATTATAATTTATTAAAATAAAAAAAAACTAACTATAGTACATTATAATTGGTTATATTGTTTGGATTTTAATTTTAAGTACAATGTCAATGAAAAATACTTTCTCAAGAAATTTGAATTCTTTTTTAAATGGTCTATATTTAGTTATAATCAATTATAATCTTTCATTTGTCAAAGAAAAAATTATAATCTTTATTGGAACTTGTGCCAGAAAAATTTGTCCCCAGCCAATCCGACTCAAATATGTGGCACTTTCTGGGAGATATTTTCCTGGGCATTAGGAGACACACATACCCATAATGTAAACGCACTTAATACTTAACAGTGAAGAATCCGTGTGGCGCAAGTGGCATCATTGGTTAAAGGACATTTTGTTTTGGACGTGGTGTTTAATATTTATTTTTTTTCATATTTTTTCGTTGTGATTGTGGTAGTTATTGTTTAAAAGATCAGTTGATGGATTGTATTTTTGTCTAAGTTTAATACCTTTTATTAATAATTTTAATTTTATTAATCTCTAATTATTGTTTTTGTAAAAAAATAAATAAATAAATAATACTTAACAGTGAAATCTCAAGTTAATATTTTTAATTTGAGCGATGGTAGGGGCACTCGCCCTCTTGCACTCTCCTGCCGACACTCCCCCTTTCATTGGGCCACGTAAGGTTGTTTTT